CATTCCTGCAATGTAGATACTTCTTCATTACCGGGTACTCTAGAAGAGACCCGTGGCTATGCCAGATGCCTCCAAAAAAGAAAATAGTAAAGAAGAGGCTACATGTAGACACAACACAGTTATTCTGAAAAACTAAGTAGCATAAAACAATTGTCAAGGATTGACAAGTCTCAATGCAGAAATCCTTCCAAGTCTGGACATAAAAAAAAAAAAAAAAAATAAAAAAAATATCAGAGATGAGCAGTAAGACATGACAGTCATCTCCTGTGATACTGGTATGAGCGTGTCTCAGGTTGGTAATTGACCTTACATTTAATTCTAATTCTTTCATTTCATTTTAAACCGTGCCATTGCTTGCTTGGCTTTACGCAGGTCGTCAGAGACAGCTGGTGCTTCAATGCAGCTCCCCACCAGGAGCTGCGTCTGCGTCACATACACAGTTATCACCAAATGTGGATTTATTTCCCAGTTTTGAAGAACTCTCTCTGCCAGGAATATAAAGAAATACACTAACATGAAAAAGCCAACTAGAATCTCAATTCGGACTGAGAAGACCAATCCACACTGGTGGAAGAGCATGACCAGCACTTGCTCCCCTAGGCTCTTTCACCAGTATATTTATTTTGTTAAGTACTGAGCATACTTTGCTCCTTCAGCTTCAAGTATGAGAGAAATTCACATCCAGATGTACTTTGCCAAAACAAAACGAGGAAGGCTGTCACAATATGGAGACAGAAAATTTAGCAAAATGGGGGGAGAAAGGGGAAGAGAAAAATAATATCCCGAAGGATGAGGTTCCCCACTAAGCGTGCCACATGCTTAACTGAAGCAAAACAAAGAACAGTAGTTTTTCTAAGGGATTTTCTTCAAGAAAGTCACAAATACAACAATTTAAAAATATCTCCATAGAAATGTTTTACAAACAAAGCCAAGAGCAACCTTCTCTTCTACAATCTGTTCATTGCTCTTTTATGCCAATATACTTCTAGAAGAAAAAGCCCAGCTCATATTTTAATCGGCAAATTTACATTCAAGGTTATTAGTGATGTCTCAGTGCTAGGAAACGGCCAAAACCACATAATGCAGTTTGCTCATTTAAAGCATTTAAGCAATATTTCCTACTTCAGATTTCTCCCCTCCTTCAACATCATAAACCTGGGCTGCTCATTAACCAACAATAAAAGCAAATAAAATCCCTTCTGAAGAATTAGGCTGAAGACCCGTTTTTTGTATCCTTTGTAAGTTTACTTTGTAAACTCTGAGATCATTCCAAATACAAAATCCACAATGGTGCAAGCTGAACAAATACTAATGGTCACCTATAAAAAAAAAATTTAAAAATTAATTTCCTGTGCTGCATGAACAATATTTCTCATTCTTTTAAATCCACCAGCTTTTAGATAGTCACTTATTCAGCTCCAGCAAAGACAGTATAAACTAGTTTATGGTAAGGAATAACATACCGCTAACCCTAAGACGATGGGGTTGGGGTAGGGGAAAGAACAGGGTTTTAGCTGAACAGCTACACCTCCACGCTAAGTAATTGCTCCAATCGATACAATTCCACACCACCAACCTTTCAGTGGGAGCATTTAATACTGTACTGAAATCTAACATGATTGCCTTGGTGGTGCTTCGCATTTCACCCCGTGCTAGTAGGCAGCATCGCCAAAGTAGCAGCAGCCCTTCCCAGCTGCAGGAAGCCAGCGGCACCGGCGCCTCAGACACTGCCACCATGAAAGGCAGGGACCCAGCAGCAGGTACTGAAGGATCCAGGTTGGATCCAAAAGACCGTATTTTATAAAGCCTACCATAAACTTGTCTTTGCTATTTACTCATTTTTGTGTGGTTCATGAGAAACTATTCCTGAAGAAAGGCAATTTATAGTAGTAAACTTATTTTATTATTTACAAGTGAAACTTACCCAGCAAAGAAGCAGGAAAAATTATGATTTCAAAGTTTGTGGCTCAGAAAAAGAGCTTCATCATTGCCCTGCATAC